TGCTGAGCCTCTGGTGCGGTTCATGGCGGCAGCACCTCAAGCGAGTGCTTCTCCTGCAGCAGGAGCTCCAGCAGCAGCAGCAGCAGCAGCAGGAGCAGCAGGAGCAGCAGGAACAGCAACCCTGTCTACGCCGCAAACAGAGCTACAGCAGCAACCATATTACCAGCAGCAGCAGCCTGCTGCTGCTGCTTACCGCAGAGAACATGTCGTCGTGCTGGGGACGGGCTGGGCGGCTGTTAACTTCTTCAGAAACCTCGACCCCGATAAGTGAGGCCGCTATAAACCCTAAACCCTCATAAACCCTAAACCCTAATAAACCCTAATAAACCCTAAACCCTAAACCCTTGTGATGAGGTTCTCTATCTTCTCCTCGCACTATATATGAATCTATCTCCGGATTTAATTTGTTCTTTACACATGCGGCATTAGGGTTTAGGCTTTGGGGTTTAGGGTTTAGGGTTTAGGGTTTAGGGTTAGAAGAGTAGTTGTATAGAGGCTGCTGCAGCATCCTGAGACCCCACAGCTGGTGTCTGTTTGTCTGTCTTTGTTTTTTCTTTTTTGTTGCTGCTGCGATGGCTGGTGCTTTTGGTTTTGTTCTTTTTATATTGTTGCTGCCGTTTATTTTATTTTTCTTGTTGCTGCTGTTGTTGTTGCTGCTGTTGCTGCTGCTGCTGCTGTTGCTGCTGCTGCTGCTGTTCTTGCTGCTGCTGCTGCTGTTGCTGCAGCTGCTTCTGCTGTTGCTGCTGCTGCTGGTGTTGCTGGTCGATGTGTGTTACTAGGGGTGGGGTTGTTGTTTTTGTTTGTGTTGTTGTTGTATTTGTTGTTTGTTGTTTATTTATATATTTTTTTTGTTTTATTTTACTTTTATATAATTTATATATTTTAATTATTTTTGTTTGCTTTTTACGCATTTGTTTGTCTATCATTTCTTTTCGTTTTTTTTTCTCAATATAAACTAAATACTTTTATTTAATATAATATAATTAATATTAATTTATTTATTTATTTATTTATTTATTTATTTATTTATTTATTTTTTTTTTTTTTAGGTTTGATGTGACGGTGGTTTCTCCCCGCAACTACTTTACCTTCACTCCTCTCCTC